CCCCAAAACCCCAAAACCCCAAAACCCCTATTTTATCAAATATGGTTGAAAGTGTTTCAGCTATGTTTCATCACCTCAAAACAATAAACTCTGCTCATTTCGAGTAGAGTTCAAGGAGTCTTAAGCAGAACTAGAGCTTTGTAGCCTTTATACCTATTTATAAAATCTCTGATAGGGAAATCATTTCTAAGATTTCAAATTTTTGCTTATGAGAAGATCCATTTTTTAAATCGGACTAATGGATCAATTATATATAAATCTTCCATTTATGGACAAATCTGGCAGCCCAGATTTGTTCAATATTTTGGAAGAGCATTTGGCTGAGTCCAGGCCTCCCCTACTCCACCAGATCTCGCCTTAATGTAATTCTTCTGCCATTTTGAAAGAATTGATCCTACTGTTTTAGGTTTTACCTCTATTAACTTAGAAAATTTTAATAGTAATGATTCCTCGGCTAAATATCGTATTCTTGGACCCATATCAACCACTTAAGTTGTTAATTTCTCTCAAGTTCATGCTCAGCTAAGTTTTACAGGTTATTTGCAGAAAGGTGGTAAAGCTACATCTTCTTTGGATACTCTAAGGCATAGTTTCTTTCAACTCTTATGGCCACTGATGATACTCTATTTGTCAGATTTAGGCAATAGGATAGTCCATTAAGTTCCATATTAACCTAATCTCTTAGTATATCTTTCTTCTTCCAAATTTTAGGCATAGATTGTTTTCTAGACTATGACCTTTCCTTTTATTCAGTCAGCATTAATTATTGATAAAATTTCCGAAATACAATTTAGGTCTTCTCAACTATAAAACCAGCATGGATCTTTCGAGTCCAGCCTCTGTTGTTTTATTTCTGAATATAATGACTTTATGTTAGATTTTCCCAAAACATAAGAAATATAGAAGTTCATATTCCTTTGTTAGATCCCTAATTTGTACGAAGTACTAGTGTTAAGTGCTGGATTTCACCACTAGAGCTCCACATTGTAAACAAGAACTCTGATAAAAATAGGCAATTTTAGTACCAAAACCATTAAAATTACTCATTTTTGTGAGACCTTCGATTTCGCACGAATCGGTGATTTTTGGAAAAATTTCGTTTCATATTTTGGAAAATAGATATAGGCATAACTCTATTCTAGGTGATTATGGCCAAATCCTCATTATTCTGAAATCTTGGATAGGTGCCAGAAGTACTAGGCAAAAAATTAGCAAGAAAGAACCCAGATATAGGAGAATTAATTTTTTAGAGGTTTTTACCCATTTCATACATTAATAAATATATTTGGGAATGGATAAATTTGTACTACATCTAGTAAGAAAAGTTCTTTGCCTAAATCGTGAGGAAATAGGTTTCAAGAAAATTCTGAAACTCAGAGGATAGATTAAGTCAGCTAAATTCCCCTCCTTCATTAATTGATAGTGCGAAAGTATAAAGCTAGATGGTAGACAATATTTCATAATTAAGCTCTATTAAAGTATTTATTCATAATAAGTTATTAGAAATACTCAAGGAGTTCCTCTGAGCTTGGCCTTAAGTCTTGATCATCATTAAGACAATCCAGGAGCATCTGCTGGAGCCAAGCATTTTCTAAAGTACTCGACAGAATCAGATCTTCTATATTGTTGGTATTGTCTTTGAAGCAGATCAGTTCTTTAGAGTCACTCATTTTTCCAAATAATCACGTGAAAAGAATGATTCCGAGACCCCAGATGTCAACGCTCTCAGTATATAGCTTGTCTCCTTTGATTTCTGGTGCAGCATAGAGAGGGGAGGAGATCTGGGTGTAGAAGATCTTAGAGAATTTTGTCAGCTTCTCCTCATCAGTTCACTTGGATTTCCCTTCCTTGGAAATATTAAAATCTATTAACTTGATTTCTTTGTCATCGTTGATTAAAATGTTTTGAGGCTTAATGTCTCTATGAGCTATACCTTTGGAATGGAGGTATGATAAGCAATTGGATAATGTCTGAGCAATATTAGCTGTCTCATCTTCATTCAGATGCCCATACTCTTCAATGTACTTATCAAGCGTCATTCCTGCAAAATACTCCAATATTAGGTAGGACTCATCTTTGATATCATTTTCAATAAATTCAATAGGTTGGATTATGGTTTTCTGGTCAAGGGATTTGAGAATTTCGTACTCTTTCTTTGCCATTTCCCTGGAATTGGTCCTTCTGGATACCTTAATGGCCACCTTCCGGCCTGTATCCTTCTCTGTAGCAAGTTTTACTGAAGAGTAAGTACCAGTGCCAATATTTTTGACAACTTCGTATTTGGAAGTAATTTTCTTAAACCCAAATTTCGTATTAGTTTTCGACTTTCCTAAGTGCTTCAGGGTGAGTTTTAGATTCGGTCTCTTGATAGTCATAGTGGGAGACCCAGTCGATATCAGCTTAAGATCTCCAATATCAAGATCAGATTCTTCTTTCGCTTGGTTAATTGAGTTGTTAAGGTTCAATGGAATCATTAATTTAGATTTTCAATTAATTATACAATATTTGGGGTTTTGGGGTTTTGGGGTTTTGGGGTTTTGGGG